ACTTAAATGCTTTCTTGGTTTTAGCGTAAAGAACTTATTTTTATATTAAAATAATACCCTGATAAGTATATAAAACTTTATTACTAGCTAAAGAATTATTAATTAGTTATTTGTTTGTTATATTAAGCGTATCTTATATCTTAGAAGAATTGCCTTTATTATTACTCGCGGAATTAGCGCTATTCTCTTACTCTTTTATTTACTTATTCTTTACTTTTAGTAAGATATTTAAAAGAATATAATAAATATAAAGCTATTATTATATATTTTAGAATTAGTTATTAAGAGCAGCTTTTATAGCCTTATTAAAGTTTATAATAATAATAACTGGTTTCTTAATTAAGTATTTTATAAGGAGTTTATAAATACTTTTTATAAGAAATTAAAACCTTTTTCTTCTCTTATTATTTATTAAATTAAATATTATATTAAATACTATTCTAAGATATATTTAGCTAGTAGCTTAGAATAATAAAAGCTTAAATTAATTAGTATTATAAGTATTATTAAAGCTAAAAACTTTAAGAAAGTGCTTTTATATTTATAAATAATAGGGGAAGATCTAGACTAGCCTAAAAAGCTTATTTAGGTTATTATTAGCTTACTTAGTAATATATAGGATTTTATTATTATTAAAAAGTTTAATTAGTATGCTAGTAAGCGTATAACTATTAAGTTTAGTTTAGTAAATACGCTATTTTATATTATAAATATCCTTTTATAAAAGTATAAAATTAAGGAATTACTTTTTAATAATAGCAGCTATATTACTAGCCTAAATACCTACTTAATAGCTTACTAACTTAATAGCTGATTTAACTAGTGTTATAAGGCGGTAATAGAAAGGATATATAGATAAGGTAATACTTTATATATAGTTATACTATTAATATTTTAGGTTTATATACTATTAAAGAAGCTACTTACCTTTTTTTAAAGACTTAGTAGTAACTTTTTATTTATATTTATACTTTTAAAATTTATAGTTTTAAAAATTATAGCCTTTTAAAGTCTAGGGATACTTAAACTAATTATATTAAAAAGAATATTTTATAATTTAACCTTTATAAGTGTATTAGTTTTATTAGACTACCTTAAAGCTATTCTTTTTTATAAAGGTATTTATAGTATAAAAAAAAGCCTTAGCTAAGAGAGCTAGATTGCCCGGGATTATTAGGTTTAAAATTAGCTTTAAAACAGGGGATAAGAATTATTAATTTGGTAATAAGGTAGGATTTTTGGATGTTGGCAATATTTAGGACTATTAAATAAGTAAATTAGGGCGTAAAGAGTTTAGTAGAGGAGAATTATATATACCTAGACTTAAAGGTAATTATCCCTATTTTTCTCTCTAAGCCTGAACCTATTTATATAACCGGGTAAGGTTAATAGTTAAACTATAACCTTTACTAATAACCTCTCGTGTTATTTTTAATACTAATTTAAATTTAGTTATACTTCTTATTAAATACTAGGGGACAAATAAAGCTAATTCAGGAGGCTTAAAGTTAGACGTATTAAGCTGCGGGCCTGGTATTTATACTATAACTTTTTAAGGGAGTTTTTAGCTTTTACCACGGAAAAAATCGTTTTAAAGATATATTTTATACTTAAAGAAAAGGGCCTATCTAGGCCTAAGGAAATATTATAAGCTATAAGGACGCGGGATACTTAAAAATATCTATAAAGAAGAAGCAAACAAGTTGTTTATAGCATAATTATTCCTAGCTTTATAGAATAAATTAACGCTTATAGTAGAGCTACTACTTATTGATTATATTTTGTTTTTTGCTTGTGAGGCATATTTAGATTGTCTCTTATAATATTATTATCTTTCTTAATGTAATTAATTACCTAGACTAGAACTTTGTTATTAGTTAAGCCTTAAGAAAGTAGAATAATTAGATAATAAAATAAGTATTTTAGAGGCGTTTTTAGTCCTGTATATTACAGGAAATAAAGGGATAGCGCCGGTTATCCTAGATTAAGTCTAATTATTTAAAGGTAATAAATATAATAAGTAGATATATATTAGGCAATTATAGAGTTATAATAGATTAAGTATAGCGATAATAATGCCAAAGTATATTAAAGAGATTATATAACTAAGCAACCTATAAATAAGCCTATATAGCTTAAAAGCAGCCTTTTATATATTATACCTTATGTAATAGTTTGTTCCTAACCTTTTTAAAGAATATAGCTATTATAGGGAATATTATATTCCTGCTTTATTTCTTGCTTTTGATTTAGTTCTTAATTTAAAAAACTTAAGACTTTAGTATATACTTAATCTATTATAAAGTGCTATTAATAAAAGTCTTTGGAATGCTGCCTAGGTACTTGTGGTAGAGGCGGCAGAATTCAAAAACGTTAACATTAAAACGTATAACCAATTAAAGGTGGTGAAAGTCAGGCCCGCGTAGCAAAAGTGTCAGGCCCCTCTAGCAATTCCCATCTTATAAGTGTTATGTGGGCACCAATTACTATGGTCCAATCTACAAAGCTTGATTTACTAGTACGTGCATGGTCCCTGGTCATGAAACCAGGAGGCCTTTTATACTTTATACTTGTGGACCGAAGATAGGGTGCTAGTTTAATTTCGATTGGGGCGAATATATAATACCTAGTTCCTGCTTATATAATGATCCTCTGCACAGCAGGCCAGCTTCGGAATCGATCGACGATCAAATCGATCGATTGACAGGTCTGGTCGATATGATCGATATCGAAATCGAGTCGATCGTATTGATCGCTCAATCGATTCCGAAGCCTGCTTGAACAGCAACGGGCGACAAGGTTTGCTAGTTAAGTAACCTTGCTTTAAAAACTCTGGTACTTTCACTGACATTTAGCGCTGTTTTAATTGCACACTCTCCCGCCAATCTATTATATACTGCACCATTTAGCGGAACCCCCCTCCCCACCAAAAAAACACATCTCCACTGGTCAAGGATGGCACCTTCTGTTCTACTCTTACTTTAGTGAAATGCAAGGAAAGAGATTGGTGTATTAATGTGGAGTATAAGTGTTATATTATCAGATCTTTAAATTTAAAAGTTATTAACATAATAATTTATATTCTTATATAATAATAGTTATAAAAAAAGCTATCTTAATAAGTATAAAAAATAAAGCTAATATTTATTTAATAGAAGGGTGCCGTGTAATTATTTATTTAAAGCTTAAAAAGAAAGGAGAAAGTACGCTTATAACTGTATAGTTGCTATATATATCACAGTACTATAATAACCTTGCCTAAGGCACCTATAAGGTATAAACTATTAGTTTACTATATAGCTATAGTTTTAGACAGCTTTTTTAAGTAGAATACTTTATTATTATTTTAATACTTATTTATATTATATACTTATTTTTAGTAATAGCTAAGTAAAATTTATAAGTTTAAATAATTAATTTTTTTTTATATACTTTTATT